TGAAACGTAGGAAGAAGGGACCACTTATATAAGTCTCCCAGGTTGGGATTTGAACTTGACATGATTCTAACGAAGGAGTAAATTACTACTCTCTCCGTTCCAAATTATAAGTCATTCTAATTTTTTTAAAAATCAAATCATCTCAAGTTTGACCAAAATTATAAAGAGAATTACAGATATTTATGACATCAAATATGTAGTAGTATGAAAATATAATTAATGAAGAATCTAATGATACTTATTCTGTATGATAAATGTTATTATTTTATTATATAAATTTGGTCAAACTTGGGATGCGTTGATTCTTCAATAAAGTTGAAATGACTTATAGTTTAGGATGGATGAAGTATTAAAAAATAAACAATGATATTTTCCACTTGATAGATATTTAATTACATTCTAAGAATAATATGGAAACTTATAAAAAAAGAATGGGCAATGTTTTCCTCTTTGCATATGTTTAACTGCATTTTAAGAAGAGTATGGAGGGTTATAAGAAGAATGTGAATGAATGGATATGCACCAGTGGCCTGATCTCGAGGGAGGTAACTGTCGCTCACCAGAAAGCAGAGTTATTGCAATTTGTTAAAGGTAGTAAGTAGATGAACAAGAGGATATATGTGGGACAACAGTGGGGCTATTCATTTGGTTGGTCTTTGGTACTATTTTTAATTTTGGTGGTGGTTTGGGTTTTTTGAGAGAAAATATTGTTATTTTTTGGTTGGTTTTTAATTTGAAACCAATTTAACAAGCAATGAAATAAGGAAAGGAGAAACACTACCCACCCAGCACCCCATGTCAATGCTTAGAGCCCACATGAAGGGGCATGAATATATGGTGCAGAATTTAAATATTTAGAGACCCAAATACAATTAAACAATTTATGGACATATACGACACAATCATACAAGTTACTAGTTAGCTGCTTGAATATTTAACTATTAGCTTTATATAAGCTAAATTGTTTATTTAAAATAACTTGGTAAAAATAACAAAAAACATATGTACCATAATAGCCATTAGAAGTTGTCACTCCTAGCTATTCAAATGTTACGCATAATTATAATTTTCATGAAATTAGCTTATAAAATTGTTAGCCATATCTTTGGCTTATGGCTTTTTTGGTTGGAGTCAAAAATCATATCTTTTTTGTGGAATTAAATGAAGATAATTTTTATATGAAAATTATAGATTTAGACGAGATCTACAACTTTCTAGTTTTGAGTTTTTTCATTTGAAGTCGTTAAGATGCTAAAAAAAATTAATGACATATTTAGATTTAAAGGACATTTTTGACTTTTTATACCTGCAGTTTAACACCGTTAGAGCCCAATCTGACGGCAGTTACGTGAAGGGCAAAAAAAGTTGGAGCGATGGCGTTGAAGACCGCTGAACTTTTTCATAACCTCGCGGGGATTAGGATTTTTTTTTTAATGGCACACAACTAATTTCCCCCAGCAAAACCCTACCTTGCCTTTTGTTTTCTTCCATCTCACCCCCAGCGTGGTAGCGTGCGCTCAAGCCCCCACCTTCGACGACTGCGCCAGCCGTCGCTGCCGCCCTACTTCGGCCCATTCGCCGGCGACGATCACCACCAGGTACTCCCTCCTCGTGGTCTTCCCTTCCTGCTGTCCGAAGCCGTGCGCCCAAACCCTAACTTACTATTCGTAGGTACACCCCCTTGGTCTCCCCTTACTGCTGTGCGAAGCCGTGCGCCCAAACCCTAACATACTATTCGTATTCAGATCTGAATCTAATTACAAGTGTATATGCATGTGTCATGCCTGCTAACTTCGATTGCTTTGCAAAAATTATCGGGGTGTACATGTGGACGCCCGTGTTCTTAACTGGGTCAGCCCCTGTCTTGTGCTAAGATACCCTTTCTGCTGTGCGAACCATGCTGCTGCGAAAGATACTTGAAACCTGCGATTTGTGCTTTCAATAGATGTGCTGTTCAACAGTGACGCCCCTTAGGACTGTCATTATGGTTAATTGCGTTATAGTTTCTTGCTGGGGTCATTTGGTAGAACTAAAGTGATCAGCACCTAGCAAAATATTGTTTAGAAGGTACTCCCTTTGTTCCACAGTTTTATAGAGGCATACTTGTTTTCCTTTTGTCTTTAATGTTATACTTTGGCCATTGGTTTCTCATTAAACATATTTATAACTAGGAAACTGATATAGTTTGGAAGCATTTTGAATTATGAATCTAGCTGTATAATTTCTATGCACTGAACATACTTATAATTTATACTCCCCTGTCCACAAATGTACGCATTTGTAAGATGTTTAAGACAGATTAAGGAGAAAGGGAGATGACTATGATGCCCCTTGATCAAATCACTGACATTACAGAGATGCAATCAATGCCTTTCTTTTCTATTGATACTATAAATGACATGCACTAATTAAATTTTTAGACACCAAGTTAGAGCATCTCAAGCAGTCTCTCTATGGTGTGTTTGTCTGGTGGATAGAGGTCGCATTGCATATCGTGGTTGAGTGGATGCAGGCTGAGTGGAACTGTATTTTATAAAAAGAAGGTGTTTGGTGAGGTTGCATGAGCGGATGCCAAAAAACTGAGATACTGTTTGGTTGCTTGCATGAGCGGATGCAGTCTACCAAACCTGAGAGGCTGACACATGGGACCGCATTAAATACACTGCATCCACCCAGCTAGGATGGCCAGTGAAGCTCATTTTGAGCGTATCCACCGGGCCAGGATGGTGGCGTATTTTTGCATCCGCTCATGCAGGCTGCATCCACTCAGCAGGCAACCAAACAAGCTTCTTTTTCATATTATACGGATCCACACAGCCAGGACGAAGGAGATGATGGCAACAAAACACACCCTAATACCCACTCTGTAAGGGCACGTACAACGCAGGGCTCTTAGCAGACACCTAAGGACAGTTATTAAATTTTCATGCCATGTGTGAGCTACCTCGAAGCATCATGGGCGCTTGCATGCTGAATCGGCGCTCGCATAGGGCGACTGGTGCTTCAATCTTTTACAGGAGTCCGACGCTTGTCTCCAAGTAAAGAAATAACTACATTATGATGTAAATGCATTGGGCGGCCAAGTGCTTAAACAAGCTCCTAAATTTACCAATTTAAGCATGTGTGAAATAATTGTTTCCATTGTAGACTGACTCTTTTGGAAAAGCTTACTGATGTGGCATTTGGTCTCTCTCTTTAAGTGTCCATATAAGCATCTTTGCGTTCTTCACACCCTAAATCCTCATTTGGAGAGCTGTTCCACAAAATCCAGTCTAGTCACATAAAACAGGGTCGAAGGCATTGACACCTGACCCAGGAACGTCGTCCCCAACCTGGCTACATGGGGCCATTTTTGACCCCGCCACATAAAAACCTGTCGCAAGTAACGTACCACGTTCCACGACCCAATTGACCCAGGAACTTTGTGACTATGCTCTATATCGTGCCCTAAATTATGCTCCCATATATTCTATTGGGCTAGAATGTACCTTTGCACCTAGGCTGGAGTGGCCCAGACAGCCCATATATGCACCTAAAATATAATTTTGTTTCTTTTTCGTATCCAATCAGAATGTTCCGTTCTGGCCACAGAAGCCATTGCCTTGCCCTGTGCTCCTGTTTTCTGTCATCCGGACAAGCAAAAGCAAGCACATATTCACATGCCACAAACAACGGAGGCTGGTTCACCTTGGTGCGGAGGCCATCCGTGCTGCTTGCCTGGCGTGGCAGGGACCATATCTGGGAAGGGGACGTGTTAGGGCAGCCAACCTCAGGCGGATCTGGTGTCGTTGCTGAAGCGGCAGCGGTGGGCCTGCACTCAGAGATGTGAACTCAAGTGGTAGTCACATACATCCAGTGAATGGCGGCAGGTTTGCTTGTGTACAACTGAATCAGAGCCAGTGTCAGTAGGTTGGCATGTGGAGCAGTCAGCGATGGTACCATATGGGTATGGGAAGAGGAAGGAATGGCTTGAGTCTTGAGATATCCGCAAGAAGCGGTGGTGTAACACTTTGGAGAACCAGCGGGCTTCTCACCAAGTGGAGAGCAAGAATGATGGTTTTGGAGAGTGAGAAATATAGAGAGCGCGATGGAAACATTGTTGGAGCCATAGTTTTTGGGTATGTTATCTGAAACATATGTAGAGCTGAATAGAGCTTCTCTTGGAGATGCTTTTATGTTGGCAGATAAAATTAATGATGAGGGAGGGGTGGGGTAAATTATGCTAGAAATGCTTACATTTTTGGACAAATTTTGAATGCTAAAAATGCTTATTTGTGGATGGCGGGAGTGAATTTTGATTTCCCAAAATAAAATAAGCCCTGCATATTTGGATGGAGGGAATACATGATTAGGAGCTGTAATAACTTCATTGAAACATGATGTGCCTTGGAATTTGTAGGGAAGTGCTTACCAAGTAAAGTTAACATCATGAAAAATACCAAATATGTTGTATAAAAGGAAAGTAGAACAGAGGTCCTTGCTTGGAGAATAGCTGGTGGCTGGTAGACTTGGGTTTGGAACTCCAATTGTATATATGAGTAATTGAGAGATGGGGCTGTTCTTTTGATTTTTTTTAGAGTTAAATGCATGAGCGGCCCTTGAACTTGTCAAGAGGTGTCACTTAGGTCCATGAACTCTAAAAATGCATTTCTGGGTCCCTGTTCTTGTTATATATGGTGCACCATAGGTCCATGCGAGCCATATGGATATTTGTTGCTGATGTGGCATGACAGCATGGTGTATATTTTTACGTTGAGGTCCTTTTCCTTGGAAAATACGCTCTGCCTTCTTGCGCCCACGCAAAGTAGCCGCACACCGCGGTGGACGCCAAGCAGCAGCAACAGCCAACAGCACACCGCGCATGAGAAGCAACACCTGACCACAGCTCACTCCACCGTCGGCTGTCGCGGGGGTGGTTGGCTGGGTCCTGGGTTGCTGTGGCCACGTGCCATCCACGAGACCACGACGCAACGGTGAGCACCAGCTTCACAGGCACATGCATGGTGGCCTCCAGCCGAGAGCAACGTGGTCTCCCCTCCACCTCCGCTGGCGCGTACACGCAGGAGCTGCTGGACACGGAAGACGCTGATGCGCGGTGTGCTGTTGATGCTGCTTCGCGTCCTCCATGGTGTGCGGCTGTTTTCTGTGGGCACGAGGAGAGGGCAGGGCCTAGTGGCCTATGGTCTATTTTCCAAGTAAAAAGGATCTAAATGTAAAAATGCATGCCATGCTGTCATGCCACATCAGCAACAAATGACCATGTGGCTAATATGGACCTGCGGTGCACGATATAACATGAATAGGGACCCAGAAATGCATTTTCAGAGTTCGTATAGACCTAAGTGACACCTCTTGACAAGTTCAGGGGCCGCTCATGCATTTAACTCATTTTTTTATGTCTTGATTCTATCAGATTGTTGTGACATTAGGTTTGGGCATATAATGTGTTTATAAATGGGGAGGATATTGGGCTGGGGCTTGGGTCCTTCCAAAAAGCCCAACTTTAGTGATTAGGTTTTGGGGTGAAAAAGAGGAAGCAAAGTTTCAGGGTCGAGTAAAGGGCATGCAAAATGGTTTCTGTAGAAAAGAGAAACCTTTAATGAGAAGGTATCTGGTGGACCTGATGTCAAAATCATATCCTTGGAGTTGTGGGTGATACTGAGAGATGGGCTTGTGATGTGGACCAGTACCTGGAGTGACTGGGTAAGGGTTGTGATGGTATTGCTCTAGGAGATGGATGATTCTGTTAGGACTGCACAGTGAGGTTTGTGCTGCAGAATTTTGTGAGGTCGGCTTCATGCTCCTTTGCTACTGGTTTATCATGATACGACTACTGACTGCTACTGGTTTATCATGACACAACTACTGACTACCCTCCTGTATTCTGCACTCTAAGTGAATAATTAAGTTGGAAGCTGAGCTAGCTGTCGGTCAAGGGTGTGGATGTATGCCCAGACCACACAAGTTCAAGTCCTCGCCGAGGCAAATTCGTGTGCCTATTTTCTTCTTAATAAAATGCCACCTAGTTCTCCTAGGTTGGTCTATTTTTTTAAAGTGAATAATTAGCAGTGATAGTTCTACTTTCCATCTCTTGAAACATTGTGATCTCATGAAGTTGTTAATTTCCACTTTTAGTATGTGTGTGTTATAGTGTGGGCCTGAGTGCATTAGAATTTGGGGTGCATATTTTCAAATGCTGGCTTTGTGCGATGTTCTACTGTCATGAAACTATGGATCGTAAGTTTCTAGAAAAGGTGCTAAAGCATTTATCTTTCAGTTATGCTTGTGCGTGATACTCTTGTACTAATCTTTCAGTTATGCTTGTGCGTGATACTCTTGTACTTCTTTTGTTCTTTCACTAACTCATTTACTTTTTGCACATGCAGTTTGTGGATAAAGGGTCTTTAAGTCTTCATATGAAATTATCCTTTTGGTAGGCAGCTGAAGGATAATAACTATCATGGATGCTACTGCAAATTCAGATGTGCAAAGGGCTGAGGAATTTAAACTTAAGGCGAATGATGCCTTCAAGGGTATGCTAGGATTTGACCTGATTCTTCATTGTAGCTGAGCACTAACTTTTTTCCCTAACACTCCATGTAGGTGTGTTTTCACTATGTAAAAATTACTTCTGAGTACCTTATTGTAGTGGGCAAAAGATAAATTCAATTATGATAATATGACCTACTATTTTCTGTGAATTGTAATGGTGGCTAAAAAGCAGATAGGGACATACTAGGGTTTGTATGCTAAATCTTGCATTAAATTTGAAAGTCGTATGTCTCGATCAATGAAATTAAGTGTGACTTATACTTGATCCACTCACTAAACCATCTAGAGCATTATTTGGCATTTTGGCTCCTGATGTTCCTTTCATTAAAATTTTAAATATATCTGGCTGTAATCTGGGATCTTCTTTAATGTTCTCTTTGAACTGTGGCACTTACTACTTACATCTATTTTTTCCAGCAAACAAGTTCTCGCAAGCTATAGAGCTTTACAGTCAAGCCATTGAGCTGAATAGTTCGAATGCAGTTTACTGGGCAAACCGTGCATTTGCACACACAAAATTAGAGGAATACGGAAGTGCTGTGCAGGATGCTACAAAAGCCATTGAAATTGATCCTAGATATTCAAAAGTAAGTGATGATGCCAGTGCCACCTCTTGCTGACATGGTCTTTATTTTTTTTAGTTTCTGCATTTAATGAAGTTTTTTTTTGTAGGGTTATTATAGACGTGGCGCAGCATATCTTGCCATGGGAAAGTTCAAGGAAGCCCTGAAGGATTTTCAGCAGGTTAGCAAACTGCTCTACTTGTGTACATATCTCCTAGTGACCTAGACTACTGACTGCCAATATTTATTAGGTAGTAAATTTTGTTACTTTTGGTTTTCTGTTTTAAATTAGAAAAACAATCTGTTCCCAGGTTAAAAAAATCTGTCCGAATGATCCAGACGCTACAAGAAAGTTGAAAGAGTGTGAGAAAGCTGTCCAAAAAATACGTTTTGAAGAAGCAATTTGTGTTGGAGATGCTGAGAGGCGCTCCGTGGCAGACTCTATCGACTACCATATCATAGGTATCTGGTTTTTGAATTCTGCTGGGGATTTGCTCACTAGTTGCTCGATGTTCTAATGTTTTTTGAAAGAAAATTGGCGGTAGCTCTGCCTTGCATTAAAGGGGAGAAGTAATGAATAATTGTTTGCTCCTAAGGGCCACAAAACTCCCCAGAAGGATGGGCACAACTAAGATTAGCACATACTAATACAGTCAAAGAACTAAGACTCCCATTACACCTTCAAAAAGCACGCTGCCGTTGTTCTACGTTTTCCTTCATTCGCCAAAGCTAGGGATGTGGATCCTTCATTTTGGAAAATCCGTCGGTTCCTTTCTTTCAATAGATTCCACATGCTGTAAATGCTTGCAGCATTAAAGGCGCATTTCTTGTCTTTTGACACCGTTTTAATTGCCGCTTCCTACCAATCCTTAATGGAGTTGGAAATTGGAATTAGGAGCCTGGATATGAGGGAAGAGAAAATTGTTCCCATGCAAGGACCTGCTTCCGGACTTCAACTCTTAAAGGGCATAGCAGACACAGATTCAGCCTAGTTTCCTTCTGTCCATGATAGAGTGCACATGAAGTCTGATGTGGCCATCCTCTCCTCGCTAGATTGTTGGATGTTAGAGTTTGTTTTGAACTAGGGTCCATGCGAAGAACTTGCATTTATTTTCCGCCTCTGCTTTCCAAAACAAGTTGCTGAATGGCTCGAAGGACCCAGTGAATTTGATTTTATAAGCAGACTTGGCACCAGTGGCAGAGGACAAAAAAAGGGTGTGGCGGACTCAATGTTTTCAGGTCGTCTAGTCGAACCTAGTCGCTATAGGACCGACCAGGCGACTAATCGTGATTAGTCGTCGACCAGGCCGATTAGTCGAGCCTAGTCGACCCTGGTCGTCCATATAATCGTCCTATGCATCAGGACATATACATACTATATATATACCTATATGTACTATATAGTGTACACAATATAGCAAGCATCAAGACTACATTAGTGTTTAGCAAGTGACTTACTTGTGGGAGTTGTTTTCTTGCCTTTTCTTCACTGTCCAACTGTCCCAAACTCCATTCCTTTGCTGACTTGTTGCTGGAAGCCTGCAATACCAAAGAACACCATAATTAGCAACACTAATGTAGTCTTGATCTTGAGTTATTGACACATATCAATAGCAGCACTGCTGCAGTAGCAAATATCTAGCATTTAGCAGACCATGGCAGCCACACGGGCAGCATATTACATAACAGAGCAGATGGGGAGGATGCAGCCATGTAGGTCAGGAGAGCAGATGGGGAGGGAAAATGGACATACAGTCGTCAGAGCAGCTCATCACCAACGAGCAGAGGGCCGGCACCTTGAGCCTTCAAATCAGAGGAATGCAGCTCTAACTCGAGCCCCTGACCCTTCGAGAGAACATGAAGCATCCAAATCAGAGAGTAGAGATGAGAGAGGCAGAGGAGCAGGGATGAGGGAAGGACTGAACGGGGGGGAGGCGGTGTGCAGGCGGGAATAGATCAGCAGAGGGCCGACCACTGCTGGAGCAGAGGGCGGCGGGAGGAGATGGCAAAGGGAGGCAGACACTGAGCAGAGGGTTGAGCGACTGTGCACTGCAGAGAACAGAGGCTGGCGGGAGGCAGAGCCGCAGAGATGGCCGACCACCATGAGCAGAGTAGCCATCGGCGGGATGGCGGAGCAGGATGCTGAGGGTCAAGGGGCTGGCCACCATGGAGCAGAGAGTAGGGGCGGGACCGGCCGAGAGAGAGCACGGCCGGAGAGGAGAGAGCAGTAGGGCGCCGGCCACCCGGCGTGAGCGGAGAGGCGGGCGCGACTCGTGAGTCGCGAGCCTGCACGGGCGGGCGGCGGTGTTAATTTCGTGAAATTTTGTCGCTACCACCAAAACCCTTATCCTCCCACGCCACGCATGCCAGGACTGACAGCAGGGCGTGACCCACACACACGCAGCACAACGTTTTAACGCTTCTGGCGGCGCTCGCCCAAGGCTGCCAGGCAAAGAAAAGAAAAACAGCCAAAACTAGTCGTCCCACCCCTAATCGGACGACTAATCGCGATTAGGCGACGATTAGTTGGACGACCAGGCCCCTAATCGAGCTAATCGGGTCGAGGTCCCTAATCGAGCACCCAGGACCGATTAGGACGATTAATCGCGATTAATCGCGATTAATCGGACGACTTGAAATCATTGGGCGGACTTGATAGCATAGACAAAGTGTCTCAAATCTACGGTCCAGTATCCCAAATTCGTTATGTCCATTCATCGAAACGTATAAGAACACAAATAAGAATTACTATACTTCTCATTGCCATTGCCTTCTCCTTTATTTCTGATCCATATTTACTCTTACTATAGTACCTAAATTAGCCAATTAAATTAGGTAATTAACCAATGAAACAAACAAACTTATAAATAATCCTCTTGGTCGTGCTCACCACTCGGCTGCTTGGAGTCTAGAGTCTTGGACCCTGCCACCGTGTTGTGTTCTGTGTGCATGCCCTACAAGTAGGCGTCATAGTTCCGCTAGGCGCTCGCCTAGGCGCGACTAGGCTCTAGTCGGAGGGTGTCCGCCTCGCCTATGGGGGTAGGCGGACCCCTAGGCGGCGGCGGCTTGTCGGCGGCGGCGGTGGTGGTGGAGGAGCGCCTGGCGGAGGTCGTCGGTGGGGGAGGAGGAGTCATGAAGCGGCAAGTGATGCCATGCTGGCTTCTTACAAGGGCAAGGCGGCTTGAGGATGGGCGCGCGGGCGTGGCGGTGTGGGAGGAGGCGTGGATAAGGTGCGCTGGGCCGTTTTTAACGGTGGATAAGGTGGGTTGGGCCGTTTTTATGGGCCTTTCTTCTCTTTTCTCCCTGTTCCATGACCATTGGTCTTCTATTTTTTCTTTTCTTTTAAGTACTTAAGTATGTATTAATAAATTTAAGCATGTATTGGAAAACGCCTAGGAAAACGCCTAGGAACGCCTAGGCGCGATTAATCCCGCCTAGGCGCTAGGCTGAGGGGTCAGCGCCTAGATTCCGCCCAGCGCCTAGCTGAACTTTGGTAGGCGTCCTTGCCACCCTGGCAATCTTTTACCGACCTTTCAATCAACAGTCCTAGGTATTTGCGAGGAATAGCTTTCCTCTCCCCTTGGAATGGTTGCAGTGTGGAATTCGATAATTTAGTATGACCAATTTTATTATTGTCTTCGTGCAGTAATGTTGGTTAGAATGATGTGCTAGTGGGCATGCATTAGCTTGTGTTGAATCATATGCATTAGAGTTGTGTGTTCATTATGCTTTTGTAAAGAAAATGTGCAATGTGCTTTAGGTTTATTAGTTACTGTATAACCCTAAATAGTTCAGAAAAGGTGCTGAGGTGCGGGTGTGGTTTGAGGCATATGCATTTATATGATTTTGGTTGCTCATAATTCTTGTATTAAACATTACCGAAGTAGGCATCACATTTGCCAATAATGTTGCTCCATTTGGATTGGAATGGAGAATGCTGAATGAATAGGTAGAAGTAAACTTGAGGATGCTTAAGGCCTGTTTGGATTCTCAGGTCTAAAGTTTAGTGGCTAAAGTTTCAAAATAGTACGTACCAATAATGCAAGCAATGGAAGCTAATTGTCGTTTCCTCCTACGATGCTCCTGTGCCACCTCAACTGCATTGTCTTCTTCATCACTTGATGTAAAAATCTCTACAAATAAGGCACCCCCACACGTTAGAAAGCTGATTACAGTAAACAAGTGCCAACAATAAAAAAAACCATTTCAATATTACACCATGCTGATAGTAAACAGAGTTCAAGCAAACATTAATAATAAGCAAACATTCATAGGAAGTTCATGCAAACATTCAAAGTATATGGAAAACAGTAAGTTCATGAAAATAAAGATAGGCACTACTGCTGTCCCACTATCCTAGTTCATCTAGTACAACCTCTTCGACCATATGAGCCTAGCTTCTTTAGTGGTGAAATTGAAGAATGCCTGCGGTTTTCAGCCTTCACAAACAAATTGGTAACCATGAAATACTCGATACTATCTTCTGCTGCCCCACTTTCCACTGCCAATTGGAGAGCTTTCTTCATTGATTTGGCCAATTTATCACCTGAACTTTCTTCCTTGAAGTTCTCGAGTATTCCTTTCAGCACCTTCACCATAGGACTCTTTGTTTTTTTTTTGTAGGACTCGTGGCAGTAGTAGTAGTGCTGCTGCCTCTCTTCCTGGCACTAACACTCATTGGGCTGTATTCCTTCCCATCTTCCTCCTGGTCCTCAACCTCATCAATTCCATCTCCAATTATTTCACCTGGAATACAGGCTGAAGACCCATCAACTGCGACTTGTTCAAATATTTCCTCCAAGTGTGCAAGATTGTATGGAGGTCCAGATCACAGCTTCCACCATTCGGGTTTGTTCTGAAACAAAGTAAACAAGTGTCAACATTAATTAAGGTAGCTTATACGCACGAACTAAACATAAAAGCTGTGTCATCAATACCTTTGTGTGTGTATCCCAGAATTCATCATCAGCCATCACCGAGCCATTAGCATTGCGTCCCAGACCAGTGTGTCTGTTGAGGTACGGCCAAAACTGATAGAGCCTCTTCAATTGATCCCATCTGTTTCTCAGTTGTTTCCTACTGTGTTTTAGGTGGGTACTATTGTAGTACTTCTCAGATATATTCACATAACCCCTGTTAGTAATGAATCCATTGCTATGATTGCCTGCCCTCTTTTCCTCAAGACAAATTTCGCAGAAAATAGAAGTATTTTCAGCAGACCAATTTGCCTTGTCAAAGCGATTACCCATCTACATTGTTTCAAATGAAAAATAAATTGTCAACAAGATGTAATTTTGCAACATGTAGGCAGAAAAAATATGGACCAATTTGGCTGAAACATGTAGCCAATCAGCACAGCATAAAGTTTTGGTATGCTGCAGTTTGGCTGTACTACAGTGCTTTGGTAAAGTACACATCATAAGCAAATGGACCAACACACCATCAGGTTCAAGCATTTTGACAGGACCTAGTAGCCTCTGTTCAGATGCATGAAAGGATCACAGGAAAAAGGAGGCTTGTGTGAACTATACGAAATGCAATGACAAGCCATCAGGGCACCTAAAGGCTACCTTGTCACTCCATTCACCTATGTACATACCAATTCTAAAATTTGCAAATTCAGACCATGAATGCAGAACTTAGAAAGCTACTTTGTGAAAGAAAAAGACAACTGTAATCATATTTTGGATCAAGTAAGGTGTGCTGATTGAAATTTTTTTTCCAAGAGTTTATCATCCCCTTCTTCAATACCATCACCTTGATGGTAGCCTAGTGCTGACTTCGGACAGAGAGCCTCCACGTCCACCATTGATAGCTGCTCGAGCCGTGCGTGGAGCGCGGGATGGCATTGAGCCATTGCTACTTCCATCAACACTCGCTGGGGCTTTGCCAGAAGTAGCTCGTGGCATAGCTCCAGCACGCCTGCCACGCTCAGCGATGCCGACACAGCCACCACGATTGCCTGTGCTAGCAGCAGATCCACCCACGCCGCCACAGCCACCACGGCCGCCTCTGCCAGCAGCAACTCCAGTTCCTCCATGCCCGCCAGACCCTCCACGGCTGCCTCTGCCGCCATGGGCGCCTCGAATGCCACGGCCACTTCCGTCTTCAATTGGTGTCGATTCAAGAATATTTTGGAACAACCCCACGTGCGGGAAATCAAAAGCTGCCGATGAGTTGAGGTCGACCATATTGTCTTGACTGGAGGGCACGAGGACGGTTTGGGAGAAGAAATCATAGGGGAAGGGATCTTCGGGGTGCATGGACGCATCGTCGTCGGGATCCATCAGAGGCGCTGCTTCTTCAACTGGGAGTGACGGTGCTACTGGTTGGATGTGTGGTGGGATGGTCGGCAGTGGTAGAATCGAAGAGGGGGAAGTGGTGAGAAGGCTGGCCGACGATGGGATGGCTGGGTTGGGGCAGTTCGGTGGAATCGCCGGGGGCGTGGGGAGTCTGGGCGGGGAAGATTGGCACACAATGCTTTTTCACGGAGTTTTTTTTTTTTTTTTTTTTTTTTTGGAGGGAGGCGGGACGAACAAATGTTCACAAGGGCAACGTCTTTTGCATGCGGGAGCTGCGAGAAACCAACACTCTAGACCACTTTAGCTCTGTTTTTTGGTCTAATGGTCTAAAGTGCTTTTTAGGGGTTAGCTAAAGTTTGAATCTAAATTTAGACCACTTGTTTGGAGACTTTAGATCTAAACTTTAGCGACTAAACTTTAGATGGAGGGATCCAAACAGGGCCTTAGTAGTCATAGCTAAAAGTGAAATGCATGGTTGCAGGTGTCTTTATAGCTGGTGTGGGTGATTAAGGCCCTGTTTAGTACTGCGTTTGCTTCGATTCTGAGCGAAATAAGCGGAATAAGTCCGCCAAACGGGTCGCGACGGCCTCCATCGCGAACGCGGCGTTCACGTTCGATTCCCCACCGCAACGGTGATTGGAAACACAAGCGAAAGGCTGCGTTTTGGAAAACGCGAGCCGCGTTCCCGAGCATTCACCCTCCCTCCGGAGCTATATGCCACCCGCCCGCAGCTCAGCCGGCGCCGGAGGTCCACGCTGTCGGCCCACGACGCCCGCCCGCATCCGGAGCTCCTCCCGCCGGCTGGAGCTCCATGCCGCCCGCCCGCCCGCAGCTCCGCCGCCCGTCGGAGCTCCTCGCCCTCGCCCTCGCCTAGAGATCGCCTGGATCTCCGAGCTAGAGCTTGGATTTTGAAGAAGGACCTGGTAGAAACTTTTATCTGGGTCTAGTTGCAAGGCTATAGACTCACTGGAATAGTAGTAAACAGTGCTACGCGTTTTGAGAAAAGTCTAGGGTTCCCAGTGCAAAATGTCCTACCCGAAATAATCGGCAGAGCCAAATGACCAGCTTATTTAGACAACAAATTCTCTACATCGTGGTCTATCATATAATCCTGCTCAGCTTATAAGCGAGACTCCGATAAGCTGAACCAAACAGGGCCTAAGAGTTTCTCTTGCACCTTCTAATAAGGGATACGAGCCTGTCCAGTCATCGTCGGCTACTTTATTAAAAAACTATACCTACTGCGGACTTATTAGTTCCCATCCATTTGATGCTATCATGCTACAGAAACTCGACTAACTTTATTGTGAATTATGCCATCTTGTGTTGTTCCATTGGAAGTTTGAATGTCTATTTATCATGTAAGTCTCGTGCTTTCCTTTTTTGAGTGGGTGGTGACTTCTCTTATTTGTACAACTTATGTCTGCTTATTTCACATTCTAATTAAGGTGCACGATTCTTTTGGTTCACTAGAAGTAGAGCCACATTATGCGGGACCAAGAATTGATGGGGAAGAAATAACGATAGATTTTGTCAAAGCAATGTTGGATGAATTTAAGAAGCAGAAATGCATACATAAAAGGTACAATATCTCGTAATGGAACATGTTTCTTGTTGTCTTTATCTGTTCTGAGTCATGTTCTTCGTTAACTTGTCAATGTAGATATGCTTATCAGATTGTGCTAAAAACCTTGGATTTGCTGCGTTCGATGCCTTCCCTTGTTGATGTGGATGTTCCAAACGGTGGGCATTTTACAGTTTGCGGTGATGTGCATGGCCAGGTATTTATGTTTAACGGGTGCATCACTTGAAGTGATTGTTTAGACTTTATTCGCTCCATTGTTTTGTGCATACTTGCTAAGAGAAGAACGCAAAATGACTGCATCACTCTATTAAAGTTGTATCTCAAGCTACCTCCTTTTAATTCATCTGTATTTGAAACTGCCTGTGACCGGAAGGTCCCGGGTTCGAGTCGCGGTCTCCTCGCATTGCACAGGCGAGGGTAAAGCTTGCCACTAACACCCTTCCCCAGACCCCGCACAGAGCGGGAGCTCTCTGCACTGGGTACGCCCTTTTGTATTTGAAACTGCCTATTTTTAACCGTAGTTGCCCACCTACAAATTAACAAACAGATTGGTCTTGTAAAATAAGGTATTGCAGTTATGGAACATGTTTGTATCTCTTTTTGATGTACCGTATTGAACTATTAGTATAACATAAAGCAGAAATAAAGCTTGTCATTTCTAAAATTTGACATAGGAAGAAAGAAGAAACATTAGCCTTGATGCACAGTGATTATCAAGATCTTCAGTACCTGAGGGGATTGTACATCTGAAATAGTGATTTCACTTGGCCTGACTAAAATTTGTATTGCCATATGATTCCTTTAATCTGCACTGGTTGGCAGTTAATCTTTTTTCCCCCCTGTGCAGTACTTTGATTTGCTCAACATATTTGACCTCAATGGGCTTCCCTCAGAAGAAAATCCTTACCTCTTCAATGGTGATTTTGTGGACAGAGGATCTTTCTCTGTTGAAGTCATACTCACCCTTTTTGCTTTCAAGTGCCTCTATCCAAAAGGTATTCTCACATATTGTTAATTCCGTGAACTGAGCAACATTGTGCAGTTTGTTTCTTCTCTTGAAAGATGCAGGATTGTTTCGTGTCATTTCATTAAGAAGAAAAATATAGTACAAGGAGAGATCTAGAGGCCTCTCCAAGATCCAACCCACTCACGATATTGTTACTTGAGCAGTTCTGGTGTTATGTTAATTTTGATAAACATGGCCTTTAATTTGTAGGTGTACTAATATTGCACTGGTGAATCTTTTTAATCTTTCAGCTATGTACCTTGCAAGAGGAAATCATGAAAGCAAGAGCATGAACAAAATATATGGCTTTGAGGGGGAAGTGAGGTCAAAGCTGGGCGAAAAGTTTGTTGAACTTTTTGCTGAAGTCTTTTGTTGGTTACCTCTTGCGCATGTCATAAACAACAAGGTCTTTGTGGTTCATGGAGGGCTATTTAGTGTTGATGGGGTGAAACTTTCAGACATCAGGTCCATTGATCGTTTCTGTGAACCACCTGAAGAAGGTACAATATCCTCTTTTTTCTATACTTGGTTGATGCTGCTTATTTCCAACTAATATTATGAAATGATTTCCTACTGTGGCAGTTCATCTACACTTGATTTAACTATTATGTATATGTCTACAGTGTTCGTGGTTTGAGTTTTCTTTTACTATCATCTTAAACCAGTATGATGATATACTGAAGCTCTATTACCTGGTCAGCTTGCTGCAGTATCACGTGACGTAGATTCCCAATGTACACATGACTGCTTCCCATTAACTTGGAGTAGCTGAACTATGGACTTGAGTCAAAATGTTGAACAATGTTAGCTATTATTCTTTTTAAAGTGAAGCCAAATTTCTATATGCTTTATCATTGAAAGCACCCATGTGTGTGTACTATTTCCTAAACTGAATTTAATTCCTGGGTAAGGTAAGCACCCACGGCAAGTCTTGGACATGCTGGGTGGGTAGGAACCCCAGATGGTCCTAATCAACTGTCGTATGCTCAGTTCTTGTCTTCTCGACATGTTTCATACTTTCATGGCTTGATGCTTTCAAGGATGTATGATGCCATCTTTTTATTGGCTACTTGGCAATGATGGGCATATGACACAATGTTACTACTGGTTCTTTATGGCAGGTCTAATGTGTGAACTACTATGGAGTGACCCTCAGCCTCAGCTTGGAAGAGGTCCAAGCAAACGTGGTGTTGCTCTTTCCTTTGGTGCAGATGTGACTAAGAAGTTTTTACAGGAAAATAACCTGGGTAAATATCATGGGATCTTATTTACTGAAGGGGAATTTACACGAGAAATGTTGTCACCTTTTGTTTTCTTGATGAGTTGCCAGATCTTATTGTCCGGTCCCATGAAGTAAAGGATGAAGGCTATGAAATTGAACATGATGGGAAGCTTATAACAGTCTTCTCTGCGCCTAATTACTGTGACCAGGTATAGGTGTATAGCTTTATGCTACCGTGTTGCTTGCTTATACCAACTTCCATTTGCATTGTTATGCCATTGAATGCTGATTGCTTTTCTTGATGTTTTTTGTTTATTGAGGCAAAGAACAGGTTTTTTCTGGTCCATTTTTGTCCTATTTTTTATTTATTAATCTATGCTGTCAAATTTATGTACTATTGTATCGTGCTGTTTTAATCTTGTGAACTGCATTTTTGATACAGATGGGCAACAAGGGTGCATTTATTCGCTTCACAGCTCCAGAAATGAAACCAGATATTGTTACTTTCTCAGCTGTGGTGAGTAGTTCTCTTTTCTTTCCTTTGTGTTAACTTTGGATCACTAGCACAAGCTGGTTATGTGGGAAGTGTTGATTGAAGCTCAAGGTTTACGTATATCCTAACAGAGGCAAAAACTGGACAATGCCTGTTTTTAAGAATTTGCCCAGTTTGTGTTTACATGACCTTGAACTTTTAGTGGAACATTAGTATTCACATTTTGTCAGAAACTGGAATCAGAGGACCAAACCAACAAAGAAGCAATGAGAAAACATAAAATTGTTAGGTTCCACGCTTCAGGTGGTTATCACCTGGAAACCACCAGATTTCGAAACACCTTCACATGTTACTTATCAAATGCATTTCCTCATGGTTATGGTTCCCCTTTGTTGACATTTTGAATATCCTTTTATCATGCTCCTCTTAAAACTTCTTTTTAGCACCAATCTGATTAGCAACTGGATATCTGATTAAGGGGTTTTCACATTTGCTGATGCATCTTGCAGCCACACCCTGATGTGAGGCCGATGGCGTATGCAAATAACTTCCTCAGGATGTTTCAATGACAGAATATAGCAACCTTGTTTAGCAATTTTTATCAGATGAGTCTGTTGTTTGTCAGCTCCCAACACATTTCTTGCTAGGTTTAAGTATATGCTCCCCTGTACAACGGATCAAGTGATGTAAGGGATTCAACTGTCGATTTACTGTGATGGTACATCCATTTTTGTGCACGAGTTGTCATTCTTGTAACTATCAGTAAACAGTCTTAGATCATTAGATTCTAGTTTACTTGTAAAATTGTTAAATCATCATTTCCTTTATTTATTTATCAGCTAAGTTATACACACATTTAGTACTTATCAAATTATTACTTGTGTGCCTCAGTAGTACAATTGCTCTTATCTGAGTAAGTAATCTTTACATTTCAACCCATAACGTTCTCATATAGTTTGGTATCATTGGTGATAATTCTGGTCATCATGTCTTTGAAATTGCGAACTCGGATCAATTGTGTAATTGGCATGTCCGAGTTGTAAATGTTCGGACTGAAATTTGTGCTCTGTTTTGTCGCCTGTCGGCGTGGGCTTGTGGTGGAATAGGCCTCTCGTTGAGGCAGGGTTTGCATTCTCCTCAGTGGCGAGCGTATTTGCAGCGGTCCCTCTGCACGCATGAGTTAGCAAGGCATTCATGATAAATGGTACTGTACTAGTTACCATTTAGTAGTACCTGCAGGGTGGTTGGATTGGGAAATTAAGGTCCTGTTCGGTAGGATTTATTGTGGTTGAGAGAAAAATACTTTTCTATGGCTTAAAAAGTAGGACTGATCTGACTGATAAGCTCAAGTGAACCGGGCCCCTTGAGCCCTGACATGCTATCGGATCAAACTTCGATCTTAGAAAGTGTTGAACCAAAGCATGTGGATAGCAAGGTTCGTCATTTCACATCATTGCATTAATGAGGGGGAGGGTATTGTGTGTTAACTTTCAACCAGGTTGCAGAAGCACAAGCTACTGCAGTTTCGGGCCCAGCAAGAAAACAGAAGCCACTCTCTATATGCAACATGACAGTTGCATATAAGGAAAATAACGACCCCTATAATTTGCATTGCACCCTCCTTAACCTTAACCATGAATACTACTAAGGTCAATGGATCAGTTAAATCTCTGGCATAGAATTGAAAGATCAAGACGTCCAGTTTGAATTTTCTATTATTGAAGTTTTCACCTATCAAATCGGCAACGATGTCCTAGTGTCTTGCTATTGGTCCTCTCATGCGTGAGTTCAGAATTCAATGTTAGTATGGATTGACTTAGTATTGGTGATAACATGTCAATTTCTTGTATAAATATCAGAGCGTCATGTGCCAGGCAACTTGCCGTGGTAACGTTTGACATGCCGGGGAAACATGGGGCGGACAGGTAACTTAAACGAAGTTGCATGACGCCTACTTATTGCCTTTGCTTATGGTTTGACAAAATGATCCTGAGTACGAGTCAGAGTCACCCTCTCCAGAGTCATGAATCAGGATGTGACATGGGAACACAATCCAGGACGTGACCTAGGAATTAGGTTCAAACAAAAAGCTCGTTAGGCTGCCTTAATGGTTCGTTTTAAAGTATTCTATTTATAACTCTTTTAAATTTAAAATCAAAATTAGCTAATTTTAAATCAAAGCCAATAGGGGTTCGGTTCATTAGTTGTCTCAGCATTTCCTGTAATGGAGAGAAGAAAACACAGACACGAGCATAGCTGGCGATTTCTTCTTCATTTTACGTTTATCCCTAAACAAAGGGTGAAGAGTAATTCTTCTTCGCGAAGAAAAATTTACCTCAGCTAGGTGACCCAATCTTGCAGCGGTTAAACTAACAAGCCAAGCATATACTGTATAATATGTAAATTAATTGACAAAAAAAAAAGAGAGTAGCTACAAATAAAGAAGCAGCACTGTTAACTGTATCTATCTTCAGAGAGTTGCTTGTTTGGCTGGCAGCTAGTTCAGTTCCTCCTCACACTTCTCAAGAAGGAGGAGGTCTGGGTGATCTCTCGCAGAGGCTTGTCGGTAAAGCGTATGAGGTTGTAGGCCCAGGCGCCGGCCACCGTCCTGCAAATCGGCCCGGCGAAGTACACCCAGATGCCGGCGTAGCGGCCGACGACGATCGCCGGGCCCAGGGTCCTCGCCGGGTTCATGGACGCTCCTGATACAGGCCTGTGCAGTGCATCGCATCAGTTGCGCTTTTAATTAGCACACTGTATTAGTTTTGAAGATATATGCATGTATTGCAGTTGTACATGCACATTGTTGCGGATTCGGATGCTTCTTGCATTTAATTACCCGGCAAAAAGCACGTTTAGCAGGACGGTAGCTCCGACAGCGAGGCCAGCGAGTTCGCCAATCTACAAAAGAGCGGGGATAATGTTACATGTCAGCCACACGCTGTCCACGTCATAGTTTTGTCTACGAGGAAGAGAGATTTAAGAAAGAAAGAGAATGTGCTTATGATTAGTTTCACTAAAGCACTCAATTCTATGTTTGCTCCGTATGAGTATTCTAAGGGCGTCTCCAACAATCGTCGACTTAGCTCGCTGAGTTGGTTCAGGGGCAGGCTTGGACTAACGTGGAGGGGAGAGAACGAGCAACAAATGAATCGCTATCGATTTGTTCGGCGCTAGTGCAGAGCTGGTGGAAGCCAATGCTAATGGGGGCATGCAGCTTTTTTTATTCTAGTGGCGAATGGGAAGCCACTGGTGGAGAAGAAAATGATGTTTTTAATTAATTCTGAAGTATGGGTTTTGAAGTCGACGGCACCGCGCTGAGGATGCCCTAAGAAGAGGCATGGAAACTTTACTATTAGCCTATTACACATGTGGACCACCGTATTTATTATTCAGAACATATTATGACCAAACTATATAGTATTGAATAGATTCTCCATTATCCAATGATTCCAATCTTCACCGGAAATGAACAATGTTATAGCTAAAGAAGTACTAGCTACTCTATTGAAGATGCTCTAAGCCTATTCATAATTTTGGATTGTCTATTGTTTTTGGTAGTCTGCCAGCTAGGCATGTGCCCGATTTATAATTAGAATTTACTTATGCAAAACTTTGTTACACACGTTGAAATTGCCATTACACGAATAATTGATGAGTGCAGTTTGATTAGTCTTTTTTTTGTGTTATAATCTATTGACCTGGGTTGCTTGAGTCCAAGATTCAGTACAGATGCTTGCATTGTCGACTATTTATCCATTTTTGAGGTTAAAGACATGAGCGTTAACATTGATGTTTTTTTAGTGATTTCGTCAATCTAATTTTTTTAGCCTGGTCTCTTGTAAGCATCTGTGTCGGACACCATGTATATGGTGTTTCTTAAGGAGGAGGATTTCAACTATTCTATTCCTTTTCTTTTTACCCAGCTCCTTTTATGGCCGAGGCATTATTGTTCCTCTAAAAGGCACACAATTCTATGTGTGCACACTCGTGCCTGCGTCATGCAACCAACCCAACTAGGAATAATCAGTTTTCTACACAGCCATGATGAACAAAGTCATCAAATTATTAGTGTAATGTTAACTTCTTTCTCCGTGCCAGATTATAAGTCGTTTTGATTTTTTTTTGTATATTAATTTTGATATATAGCAAAACCGATATACCAAAAAATATCAAAGAGATTTATAATTTCGAACGGAGAAAGTACTACTCTTCCATTTCAAATTATAAATCGTTTTTACTCTTCTAGATATATAAGTTTTACGTATATCTAGTACGCAATAAAACTATCTACCTAGAAAAATCAGAATAAATTGCAATTTAGAATGGAGGGGGTGCTTTAAGTTTTCCCTGTTTTGAGAGGGGAGTTTTCATTGTCAAGAGCCACGTTTGATGTTCTGAATATTAACTTCGTTAATGCTATTTGTGACCATTCAACCAGTGATAAAGCATGTGACAATGGTCAAAAGTTCCTAGCGGAGAACAGATGCTAACTTACGGCGCGCTGTGTGTTGTCCTATAAGGTCGCATAAATTTTGGACCATGAGATATATCCCGGTAAGCTAAGCTTCTATGGATGGATATATAACGCAACACCTTTTCATTTTCCTTGGGTACGGTGCGTTTTCACTAAAAGTGACAGGCAACCATAATCCAACTAGAAAGCAACGCTCCGAACATCGATGGTTAACATAGCCATTTGATGGTTTCAAAATATCGACCAACTCCTTCATTTATATATTTGTTTATAATTTTTCCATTATTAGTCAATCTATACTATCTCAAACCCTTCAATATGTTTTGCAAAAAGAAAAAAAAAACAGAAATGCTAAAGGAGACACGTGTGTTTTAGCTTGTCTTGGCACACGAATTTTCTATGCGTTGGATTGGCATCGTGTGTGTCTCCTTGCCACCGCCGCTTCTGTCTCTGATTAGGAGGGCCCACCTTTTTGGTACTGTTGAAAAATCGGGAATCGCGCCTCTTCCTTTCTGAGCGTTTCATTTCCCCTTCGTCTTCCTTCCTCCGACCCCAATGCTCTGTCGCGCGACGCGCCCGGTGCTGCGGCGATTTGCTCTGGCGAACTCGCGCTCCCCCGGCGATTTGCTCCTGTCGGCGTCGCGGCAATTCGAGAGGCGACCTCACCGCTCCGCCCCGCCCCGTCTCTGTTCATGGCCTCCCCCTCACCGAATCAGTTGCTCGCTCCTCGCCTGCCATTCCTAGAGCTTTGGAGGTACCTGCGTTCGTCACTTTTCTCCCTTGATATGAAGTTTGCCTCATCTGTTGCCTGATGGATGGAGATTTGGGTGGGGGTTTTTGGATGTAGACAGGGGATTTGCGTTGGATTTGGGGGATTTTGGTTTTGTGGTTGTGGATTTGGTTGCAGCAGGGGCGGTTGTTGGGGTGCGTGGCGCATCGGCTTTGTTCGCAGGCAGGCAGATGTTCGTCTGCGATCGTGGTTCCTTGCTCAGACGGCACGCACGGCGAGTGCGCGGGCCAAGTGGGGCTTCCCGGTGGGGCGCGCGTTTGTCAAGCAGTGGCATGGGGGCGCTAGGTTAATCCTTGTTCAAT